GGGAAATTGCCCTGGTGCTGGAGAAGGTGGAAGGTAATTGTGGAAGGTAGTCCAGGAACTATTTCTTGACGTAATTTGTCTCTGTCCTTTGCTTCTGCAGCTTCTAGCCTCTAATGGATACATTAAATGGAATATGGGTGGGAAGGGGAGAAGCGCGGTGGAGGTGGGCTCCCCACTTGGAGAAAGGAGCTGGGGGGGGAGAAGCTTTGAACCTAAAAAAAAGGGGGCTTTTGTCATCTTTTGCAGCGCTGTCTCCTCCTCAGGCTGCTCAGCAGCTGGGAAATCTGTGGGGCACAGGCACATCTAGTCCTGCTTTAAGAAATAGGTGTCTTCAGGAAGGAAAAAAAAATATATATAGTAAGAGGAGCATCTTTGCAAAGAGGAGTGGGAAATAATAATGCCACCCCCCCCCCAAAAAAAAAAAAAAAAAAAAAAAGACTAAGCTTTTTTGCAGTGAAAGGCTGCATTATTCGGCAAGTAGTCGTGGATGTTTTTATGTCCTTCAATAAAATTTTTACGAGGATCATTTGATTGTTCATAAATGTGTCGTTCATTAAATAAAACCGTAGGACTGAGTTTCAGCTATATTGCTGAGGATGAGGGAGCTTTTGCGTGTCAGGAGGAAGCAACAATGTGTGTTGGGCACACGATTGTTCTTTTTTTTTTCTTTTTTTCTTTTTTTTTTTTTTTTTTAAATTTTTGTTAACGCCTGGAAACTTTTCTTTTTGCACCAAATCGAGTGAAGAAGTTGGGAGCGTTAAAAAATCGGTGGTAGCCTGCCTGCATTTTGAGAGAATAACCTTTCCTTTGTAAGGAAAGACAGGTAGGTAAAGAGCTCACGCCCATTGGAGTCTGAAAGAAGGGAGTTAGGCGATTTTTCTGGAAGATAAAAAAAAAATAAATTAAGATATCTAACCAAAAATAGCCTCTCATGATTTGTTTTAGAAACCGAAGCCCCCAAAAATATGGATTGTCTGGGTTCTCCAGGGCTCTCCATCACCTCGGGTTTTCTAGGGCTGGGGGGACATGGAGGGAAATGGTCAAAATTTGCAAGAAGAAGAAAAAATGTGGGCTCAGAAAGCGATGGGGGTTCCTCCATGGGAGAGGCAGGCAAGGGAGAGTGGGGGGGGCAGGGTGTCTCCAGTGATGCAGCATTCACCAGTGACAGGCGTTCTGTACACCCTGTGCAAGTCCCACGGACGGACACGGCAGAAACCTCTTCAATTATTATTATTTATTATTTTCCCCCCCCTCACACCCCCCACCCCCACCCCCAGTAAGTTGCATGGGAAATGCGAGCAGGAGGAGAGAAGAGATTAAGGCAGATTCAGGGATAAAAAGTAAAGAAGGAGTGATGCTGCCAGGAGACACCCCACCACCACCACCACCCCTCGGCCCCTCCAAACTTACCCCCTCAGCTGAGCCAGGATAAAATCCTGCATCTCAATTCACAGAAAAAGAAATTAAAAAAAAAAAAAAAAAAGAAAAATTAATGCGCAAGTGTGCCCTCGCTGCTGGTAGAAAGAGGATTTCCCTCTCGAAAAATAGGGAAGGCTTTAAAAAGAAAAATATGACGGGGGTGTTTGTCAAGGGACTCCGGATTTTCCAAATTCGAAGAGAAAAGTCATCGACCCGCTCCTCCACAGAATTTATTCCTCATTCCGTTTTAAGTCCCCTGCTTTATGTGAGCCCTTAAAGGGAAATATTCCTGCAGGAGCAGAATGTCTTCTTTGGCCTTTATCGAGACCAATTTATCTGTCAATCACCAGTCTCCAATGACGGTTATTTTTATGTTCGCGAGAAAATATATATACATATACTCATCATTCTTTTATCTGTTCCCATTTTAAAAATACTTACTCCGCAGGGCTGCTAATATAGTGGGTTGTGACATGTGGAGGGGAAAAAGCAGCTTGGCTTTTCTACTTTGCTGGAATATTTTAAAGAGAATCCTTACAAAAGAGGGGTTGTCCGCAGGCGGATATGCAGAAGGGGAGAGGGAGAAAGGGAAAAGAGGCAGAGAGAGAAGGAGGGAGAGAGAAAGGAAGGACTGAGCGTGCAGGGGGAGAGAAGCACTGAACAGCGGAGTCAGTGGCGAGGTTTTCCAGAGGAAATTAAAAAAAAAAATAATAATAAAAAAAATAAAATGTCAGAATATACCACAGACGAACCGCAAAACGAGCAGAAATTACCCAAGCCACGCAGTTATAATAAGTAGCAGCAGTTTTTGTAACCTTAATGCGAGCAGGCAAGGTCACTAAATTAGTCGTGGATGGTGTATGTTGGTGTTACACAAAGGCAAACCTATCTGGCAAAGATTTCTTTTATTTGCACGGAAACCTGCAGCCCCCGGTATTATTCCCTCCCCATCTCGTCGTGGGATCTTAAATAATAATAATAAAAAAAATAAATAAATCAGATAGCGCTTGGAATACAAACCCCTTTCATTCGGGGACTGCTGGTCTCTGCGAATTAAGGCGCACAAAGCAGGGCTTGGAACACTTCACCTTAAAGCAAACTAAAGACACGGCTTAAGACTAAAAGACACGGCTTAAGACAACGTTTTCTCTACTGCAGAATCCCGTAACACGATGTGAACCCCCATAAAATTTAACACGATGTGAACCCCCCCGCCCCCATAAAATATTGTCCTTTCACGCTTATCTCGACGTGAAACCATCCCCATGGCTGAATGCAAAGTTATGTGAATAAAGTCCACTCAGAGTGCAGGGCAAATAAAGCAATATCCTGAAATATTCTTCTTTTCAGTAGCCGTGTCTCCAAGCAAATATCCAGACCGGAATTAAAACACGCCTTGCTATTGAATTCAGCAGCTACAAGGTTATCTCGCAGCTTTTATGCCCGCTCCAGCTAGACTCCTATGCCTCCACAAAAGCTTCGGTACTTGTTTAATGGGAGATTACCTCTTCTGAAATGATGGTGAACTATCCCATCCCTTCCAGGCAGACTAATATCTTTTCCTCTCACCTCCCCTTTTGAATCTGCGGGGGAAAGGAACTTAATTGCAGGGAGCAAAACTAACACTAGCAGTCCACAACCTCTATGAGTATTTATATATATATGTTGTTTTTTTTTTTTTTTTCCTGGCCGAGAAAAAAATAATAATAAAAAAATAAAGAAAGAAAGCCGAGTCGCAAATTGGGAGGTTACAGAAAATCAAGCCTTTGTCTGAGCACTGTCCTGCCCAGTTGACTTCTGACACCTTTTCGGAGCTAAATGCTTCCCATGTTCGCCCCGCTCCCTGCAAGTGCTGTGTGTGCTCAGCCCGAGCTGCATCCTTCCCCTGCCCCTGTGCGCGCAGCCAGGCTCTTGCCCCACTTCCAAATCTTTTGCTTTCGCTTTGGGAAATTCTCCCCTGATTGGAAGGAACGGAGACAAAAAAATAACCCTAAAAAAAAAAAAAAAAAAAAAGAGAGAGAGAGAGACAGAAGAGGGAGGAAAAAAAAAAGAAAAAAAACCCCAACTATTGGACAGGCTGCCTGCTGAGGTGACACTGCTTTCTTGGGTTTTTCTTGCTTTATAACAATTTTTATTTTTTATTTTATTTTTTTTTTGGCAAAAAGTGGTGATGAGGCGAAGCCGTCCTGCGGTCCCCAGTAATTGGCGGGGAGGGAAAGGGGGGGGTGGAGGGGGTGAGGGGCTGATATCCCCCTTTTTCCCTGTGGCAGCTCCAGGCCCCAGCCCCACCAGCAGCCTTCCT